GGGGGGGGAGGGGAAGGTACCTGGTTGTGTGGCTTCTTGGCCGCTCCCTTGGGTCGCTGCTGCTGGCCGCCGTTGCTGCTGCTGTCCATCTCAAAACTCACGTCAAACGGGGGCGGCATGTTGTTCATGCGGGCGCCTATCACACACAGACACACAGAGACGCGCACACACATGTGTCCATCTGTGTGTGTGTGTGTGTGTGTCGTTGGGGCGTACCAGAGGATGACGATCCACTGCGGGTGTTGGTGTTGGCGTTGGCGGTGGTGTTGGATGTGTGTGGGGCGGATGAGCGGCCCATCGACGACAGCAGACGGCGGACCTCCTCAACATCTACATGCACCACACATCACACACACATTGACTGAGGCATTCATTCCTCTGCGTGTGTGTTGGTGCCCACCCATGTCAGAGAATTCGTCGTCGTCATCGTCATCGTCGTCGATGTCGCTGTCCTCACTGTCGTCGTCAAACACGTCCTCATCCTCATCTACACATCAGCACAGAACACGCCAACACAGCCATCCATCCATCCATCCACGCGATTCCATACTCACACGCACCATGCGCACACGCACACACGTACACACGTACCTTCCCACTCGTCGTCTCTGCGGTTGCGGGCGCCGGATGCCGTGGACGGCCGGGGGCGGCCGGCGAACTCACCTGCACACGCAGACACGACACGAACGCCATCCACACACACAGAGGAACACAGGTGGCCTGCTGTTCGTTCCTAACTCACCGGGTGTGGGGGTGTGGCGACCAAACATCATCTCAAACAACACCTGACAGATCAACACACGAACGAACCTATCCTACATGTGTCTGCGGTAAATGCCTGCAGAGCTTACGTCTTCCTCTGAGGGTCCTGGTCCCCCCATGCCCATGCCGCCCATGCGACCTCCCGGCCCCGCCCCGCCACCACGACCGCCAGCGACACTGCCACCACCACCACGACGAGCCCGCTGCACAGAACGACATCCACAGACAGAGGCCCAGATGCACACGTGTGTGTGTATGGTGCACACGGCGTGTGTCGTCATGTGTGCAGCAGATACCTCTGCGTTCCGTCTGCGGTTGCGCCGTGCCCGTCCGCCTCCCCCGCTGCCCCCGCCTCTGCCCCCGCCGCGAGAAGAGGATGAGGGCGCCACACCGACCAGACCGATGCCGGGGATGAAGAACATCATCTCCTGAACAACCACAACCACACACACAGAAAGAGAGAGAGGGAGAGAGGGAGAGATTCGTACATACATGGTTGTGTGTGTGGTGGGTGTTGTCTGTGTTGTGCGTCTGTGTGTTGTACGTCATCGTCGTCGTCCGGAAATGGGAAGGGGAACCCCCCTCTACCGCCCCCTCTCCCTCCCCCCCCACCTCTCCCGCCGCCGAACCCCATACCGCCCATACCCATACCCATAGGCCCCGGAGCAAACAGATGCATAAACATCTCCTGTGAAAAAAGAAAGACAGACACACAGCCACGTGTGTGTGGGAGCTGTGGTGTGCTGTGGTGGATGGTGTGGTGGATTCGCACCATGAACTCATCGATGTCGTGGTGGCAGTCGTCCTCGTCAATGGATCCGGTCTTGTCGTACCGCTCTCGCTTGGCCGCATCACTCAACACAGTGTACGCCTGCAAACATACACAACACACACCCAACACGCACACGCAAGGATGGTCACCAGACATGTGTGTGCAGACGCCCATGTGCTAATGCGGACAGCGTGGGCGCGTCTAGCGTACCTCTCCCAACTGCTGAAACTTTGCTGTGGCCTCCTCGTCACCAGGGTTCTTGTCCGGGTGACAGCGCTGACACACACATCACACATCACACAACACACACATCCCTGTGGACAGTGTGGGTGTGCGTAAGGTGCTTACGAGTGCCGCCTTGCGATAGGCCTTCTTGATGTCGTCGTCAGAGGCGTCGACGGGCACGCCCAGCGTCTCGTACAGTCCCTTCGGATCGCTCCCGTCGGGCATGGTGACGCGCGACGATTCTCCAAACACACCACAACACCTCACACAGCCCAGCCTCAATCAACAGCTCACCTGCACACGCACAGGTCACAAGAAGGCGCATATGTGCCTCCCCTGTGTGTATCATCATTCTCACCCTCGAGAGCTGCCGCGTGCAGAGAGGACGCACACCGGGATTACTGACGACACGGGGAGGGGAAGGAACGATGCGGGAGCGACGAGATGCCACTCCCACACTTATGACGGGCCTCTCTGTCGCGTCAAAGAAGGCCTTTTTTACTCTGCTCCTATGGCGAGCTTTTTGTCGCCGAGCTCGCACAGGGATTGAACCAATGCGGATGGCGGTGTGAGGTTGGCAGGCGCACGGAGGCCAGGAGCTGCGATTGACTCATTCGTTGTCAGACTGTCACCGATTTTCTTTTTTTCTATACATGTCGCATCCCGGCCGTGCCTAGCTGTGCCAAACAAAAGGCATCATGGCCTCACGACGAGAGGCTGGCTGGCAGTACACACACGTACAAAGGGGAAGCAGGCAGATGCACATGACACAGCACACATGTCTGGCTGAATACATAGCTGGGGCACAGACATGAGACGGAGGGCCAAAGAGAGAGAGGCATCATAGAGCTGGATAAAAGCCGAATGCACCCATACATTAGCCATCAAAACATACCATGGTGAGAAACCACGAGCATCACTCAATCAAGCTGACCTCTGCCTCACTCTCACACCACACTTAACACCTCCACTTCGTCAGCCATAAATGCCGCACTGCCCCCAAGCAAAGCAATCCCATCCTCATTCATCACCCCCACATAGCCATCAGGCACATCATCTCTGAGGATGATCTGACGGCAGCTGCGCATATCATCAGCAGCGCCACCCTGATGGCCCAACCACAGCCACCTACCGATCGTCAGCTTCGCCTCGTCCACTGACCCCTCCCGCCCAGCCACCCACACCACCCGGCTGTATTCCATCATGATCTTGGGTGTGTGGAAATGGCTGGCCAGTGAGAAATCCCCCCCATCGCAGTCGTACATGTTCTCGCCGGTCGGGTCATCGGGCAGCTGGATCCCGGCACTGATGAAGACGCCGAAGAGATAGTCTCGCTTCTTGACGACGAACACGAGGCTCTTCGTGTCGCCCAAACACCGCAGCAGATCGCCATACGACGGCCCATTACGGGTGGCTCTGGGAATGCCACACACACAGAGGGAGAAAAACGAGTGCACTGCCGTGCATTCGTTTGGCGTTGCGCATTCTCACCGGTAGAGGGACCGCAGCGACTTCTTGTTGCCTCAGACCCACTTGGTGAGAAACACTCCCTGGCCTCTGGTCACCGTACTGCCCTCAACCGGTGACTGCACAGCAAACGGACTGATGTCATGACATGGCCACTGATCGTCTCCCCGTGACATTGACCTCACCGTCACGAGTGTGTGAAGCCGAGACTGCATTGAAGGCAGGTCCGCCGCCATATCCACCTCATTCGCCAGCTGACACATCTCGATGACCCTCTGGGTCTCCGCTCGAGTCAGCGAATAGGCGGCGGTGCCACACTTGAGCAAAGCAGCCATTCGGTCGCGCTCTGCACACATCGGAAAACACCTTTGTATGCATTGCGTGTCTGTGTGTCCTTGGCCGTATTCGGTTGTCACCTTGCTTCTCTTTAGCCTCGACTGCGGCCGCCAGGGGGTAGTTCTTCGGGGCCTCCTCGGTGGCTGGTGTCGTGACCCTGCCAATCACACACACCACACGCTGTTGTGCGGCCGTCCTCTCATGAGTCATCTTGAGTGTCTTACCCGCATCGTTTGGGCAAAGGATGACGTTGTTGGCGGCATGGAGGCGGAAGTCATCAACGCACTGAGGAACACACATCGGATCTGATCAGATGATGCCACAGCAGCAGCAGCGGCCTCTCTGCTTCTCACATCTGCGCAGAACGAATGGCCTGGTTAACACACACAGATCAAGCAGACCACATGAGCCAGTCAGCGCTCCTTGCCCTCCCCGCCCAGTGCTTCACTCACTCACCGCATCTGAGCTGCCGAGGTTCGTTCTGTCCGCTGCTTGTGAAGCCATTCGTGCAGATCCCGCACAGCAGATGCTGATCGTCACCCGTGGCAGCCATCACGCTTCCCGGCCGGCGAGCAGTTTCACGCAATGTCCTAGGCGGCCTGGCGGCCAGTCCCATGTCTCTTGGGCACAATCAAACTGACGGCCAAGCTCGCATCTCAAGGCAGATCTCGAGGCATCCTCAGCCTTGTTTTCTTTTGGCTGAGGATGCCATCGGCCTCCCCTCCCTCTGGGGGTCATGTTGGTCCTCGTCCGGTCCCCGTCCGTACCCATTTGGCTGTGGTTGGCGTCTCCGACCTTCCCGCATGATGCTGTCTGCCGCAGCTGTCATTATATCGCTCAGCCTTATTGGCTCTTCCTCTGGCGTCCTTCTCGCCCCCCCGGCACGCTCTCCCACATCCCCCGAGCCTCAATTGGGTCTTCATCGTGAAGATCTGCTTGACGACGCCGTCTCAGCGGACCGACGTGACGAGAACTGCACTTGCTCCCGCCTGGGACATGCGGCTTCCCCCCCGTCCCCGGTCGTCAGAGTGTGCTGAACCGCTGGTGTTGCCGTGGTGAAGCTGCAATGATGCTTGCGTGGGGATGGGAGGGCATCTGCTTCATTGCATGGTTTGCTTGTTGCACTGGCACCGTGATCATGATGTGCTCTGTGTGGTGTGGGCGGAGGCGGTCTGTCATGTCTTGTCATTTGGATGATCTCTCTGCCTGAGGTAGCCTATCACGTGAGGTCGCACGCCGCCATGTCTTTTCTTTTGCGTGTGCATGATTACGCGTGTGGTTATACTTCGGCGTGCCTCTATGTATCGAGACCAGACTCCTGTCATTCATGGTGCTGCCTCTGTCCGTCTGTGGGACCCTTCTTGCCTCTGTCTGTCTAGCTTGCTTCCCCCGCCTTCCCCCTGCCTTTCATGTCCTCGTGCTCATCGTCTTCGTTTGAGTGCTTGGTGGTGGGGGTGAAGCGGCTGGTGATGTCTTGTCATTGGTGTGGTCTCTTCTCTGCGGTAGCCTATCACGTGTCGTTGCCCGCCATGTCTTTTCTTTTGCGTGTGCATGGTTGCGCGTGTGGTTAGACTTCGGCGTGCCTCTCTGTTGCGACCATACTCATGCCATTTCAGCCAGTGCCGCATGTCTGTCTGTTTGCTCATTACCGCGGCGGGGC